AGTTTAGATGAAGTCCGAGGTCGGATCCTCTCTAGGAAACCTCTATCATCTATTCAAGAAATTTTTTTTGAAGTTTGACGTGAAAAGTCAAGAAAAAATTATGTTGCGTAACTATGAATCTTCTTATAACATTGAACAAGAGCACTCGACTCTTATGTCAAAAGGAGTTTATACCTAATAAAGAAGGGCATAAAAAATAATGGTGTGAGCATTGCAAAAAACAATCGCACACGAATGAGGCATATTGGACGCTCATAGTAAACCTGCAAATTGGAAATCAAAATCCAAGTGTGAATGTCAAGCCTATTAAGCCATTGTTGAAGAAATTCAGGAGCCTCCTACTAACTCGAATACAATACCCTCACCAATAAGCAATTAGAGCAATTACACAAATTCCTTCAATCTCCAAAATTATCCGACTCTGTCGTGCTCCTCAGTACAAAATGTTAACTTTTTAGTCACTGCATTGTTAGGTGTTACTCCTAAACTTTTTCATTCATTGATAATTGATTTTGACGCAACTGATCACATTATTGGTTAATCTATCTTCCTCCAATAAAACTTATGTAGTCAATAAAAAGATCAAAATTTTCAATGGTTCTCTCTCGATAATTGTCGAGATAGGAACTCTTTTTTCTGTTGTGCATAGTCAACACCTTCCAACGATCAATGTAGTCTTTCAAGAAACAGCTATACACTAAGATATTGTTAAAGAACACCAACAAAAACTTTTGGAGGAAAGACCAAAACACCTTTTTATGAGTGATTGAAATGTAGCGGGTGTATTGGTGAGCCAAATGGCATTACCAAAAAAAATTTTGAGACACTCATGAGTTTGAAATGCAGTCTTGTGCATATCAACCAGCTACATTTGAATCTGGTGGCATCCTGACTTCAAGTCAATCTTGGAGAATATCGCAGCCCAAACAACTTGTCCAGTAGCTCATCGATCACCGGGATGAAAAATTTGTCAAGTATTGTTTCATTTTAACTGCCCGATAATCCACACAAAAATGTCAACCCTCATCCTTCTTCTTCACTAGCAAGACCGCGCTATAGAAAAGGCTCAAACTAAACTGTATGACCCAGCCTCCAACATCTCTCGGATTAATCTCTCAATCTCATCTACATTTATATCCGGTGGCATCCTGACTTCATGTCAATCTTGAAGAATATCACAACCCAAACAACTTGTCCAGTAGCTCATCGATCACCGGGATGAATAATTTATCAGGTATTGTTTCATTACTAATTGCCCGATAATCCACGCAAAAATGTCAACCCTCATTCTTCTTCTTCACTAGCAAGACCGCGCTAGAGAAAAAACTCAAACTAAACTGTATGACCCGGCCTCTAACATCTCTCGGATCAATCTTTCAATCTCATCCTTTTGTATGTGGGCACATCCCTTTTTCAACTCTCATCCTTCTTCTTCACTAGCAAACCCTAACTCGAATACAATACCCTTCACCAATAAGCAATTAGAGCACTTACACAAATTCCTTCAATCTCCAAAATTATCCGACTCTGTCGTGCTCCTCAGTACAAAATGTTAACTTTTTAGTCACTGCATTGTTAGGTGTTACTCCTAAACTTTTTCATTCATTGATAATTGATTATGACGCAACTGATCACATTATTGATTAATCTAAGTTATCTTCCTCAAAAAAAACTTCTGTAGTCAATAAAAAAATCAAAATTGTCGATGGTTCTCTCTCGATAATTGTCGAGATAGGAACTCTTTTTTCTGTTGTGCATAGTCAACACCTTCCCATGATCAATGTGGTCTTTCAAGAAACAGCTATACACTAAGATATTGTTAAGGAACACCAACAAAAACTTTTGGAGGAAAGACCAAAACACCTTTTTATGAGTGATTGAAATGTAGCGGGTGTATTGGTGAGCCAAATGGCATTACCAAAAAATTTTTGAGACACTCATGAGTTTGAAATGCAGTCTTGTGCATATCAGCCAGCTACATTTGAATCTGGTGACATCCTGACTTCAAGTCAATTTTGCAGAATGTCGCAGCCCAAACAACTTGTCCAGTAGCTCATCGATCACCGGGATGAAAAATTTGTCAAGTATTGTTTCATTATTAACTGCCTGATAATCCACGCAAAAATGTCAACCCTCATCCTTCTTCTTCACTAGCAAGACCGCGCTAGAGAAAAGGCTCAAACTAAACTGTATGGCCCGGCCTCCAACATCTCTCGGATCAATCTCTCAATCTCATCTACATTTGAATCTGGTGGCATCCTGACTTCATGTCAATCTTGGAGAATATCACAGCCCAAACTACTTGTCCAGTAGCTCATCGATCACCGGGATGAATAATTTATCAGGTATTGTTTCATTATTAATTGCCCGATAATCCACGCAAAAATGTCAACTCTCATCCTTCTTCTTCACTAGCAAAACCGCGCTAGAGAAAAGACTCAAACTAAACTGTATGACCCGGCCTCCAACATCTCTCGGATCAATCTTTCAATCTCATCCTTTTGTTTGTTGCATGCTCCATGTTCCCTAAAAAGCAACAATTCGTGTGGCAACTAGAAAAATTTTGCAAATTATTGTAGGAACTATTAGATCGATCTCAGAATATTTGCCAACTCCATATCATTTGTATCTTTCAAGCTAGGCAATTTGATTAAGAATCTCAACTCTGCAATTTGTATTGCTCTAACCAAGGACTAGCACAAACTTGGGTGACCTTGAAGCATTACTATCTTTTGTCTCTCTCCTTAAACTCCATTATGAGGAGTTTTTAATTTATCTCAGGCTCCCCTAAAGGCTGCAACAATTTCATACCAAACATCACGTTAGTGCTCCCTAAATTCAAGGGAAGAAAAATCTTCATCACCTGAACGGCTTGCACTTTTAAAATCACCCCTTTACAAACTCTCATCTTCTTCTCCACCTATCCCGTCTCCATCATGACTCTAAAAGTTCCTATGACAACCATCTCAAACACAAATTGCTTCACTACTTCAATAAAGATGAAATAGTGGGCGGTCCCACTATCCACCATCACCACTACGTCCTACTCCCTAAGTTGTCCCCAAAATTAAATAATGTGGTTCGGTTTTAACTCCACCACCGAATTCAATGAGACTTCTACCACATGCAAGTAAGGGTGTTCCTCCACCACACAAGCTCCTTTGTTTCTTTATCGTCTGCTTCCTCGTCACAAACTGTGAGAACATGTAAGGTTCGACCCTTACAACGGTATCCTGGGGAAAACTTCTCATTACACCGAAAACATAAACTCTTGGCCACTCAATGAACTCTTTCGGATCCAAGTGGCCATCAAAATATGACAAATTCACCATTATTTTGAAATTTTGGCTTCTCGGATATTTCAGGTCAAATATTTAGGGTAGAGGTTCTTCATCCCTAGAATCCGCATGGTGGGAAGAGATTCACTCTATTCCTTTGATCTAGATAGTCATTGTTGTAGCTACGAGTGACACTTTCGGATCGCCTACTCTCAAAGGCGGCAAACCTTTGTTAAGGTTGGGGGATTTCCTACCACATATCCTCCATAAAAGATTCCCGATAAATACAATGGGTGCACAGTTTTTTGGGGACAGTAGCAAGGGGACAATGAACTAGATGAAGGGGAAGCAATGTAAGGTGCGGGGAAGGGTAGAAGATAAATACCACATTGGAAGCGAGATATAGTCGAAGCACCACTCAACCCATGGAGAAGAATCACTACCTTGGAACGTGAAACAGCCGGAGCACCGCTCGCCCTTGAATACAGCCCTAGAAGAGGGAAATCAGGGAGTCGACGGCTGTCCTAAACAGAAACACGAGAAAACTCCCTTCCAAACTGTAATATAGCACATACATAGGAAATTACTAGAAAGAGAATAAAAATAAATGAAACATGCTGAAAATTGGAAAGCAATCAAAAGCGGAGCCGCTTGATTTTATTCAGAGCCATTCGCATAACCAATCTCTGCGTTCGTGTCATGGGAGTCACAAGCAGGACGCAACCTCACCTCTTCTTTAGCCATCTCGCATCAGCGCGGGTGGGAAGCCCGTGTCATAATATTATGAAGAAGTAAAGATAAAATTTACAACTGTCAAAATAGTCCCTTGGCTGTTTATATGGAGTTATTTCAGTCTCAGAGTCTATGAAAGTGTAAAATTAATCCCCATACTCTTTAAATTGAGGCAGAAATAGTCCTCCATATAGACTTTCAAACAATATTAAAAGATTTTGGGGATTGAATTAGCATTTCATAAACTACGAAACTAAAATAACTCTGTACAAAAAGTTGAAGGACTATTTAAAATTTTTTTCTAAAATTTATTAAACTGTCAGTAGATCAGATATGTTCTATGAATCCATGTGTTGAACTAAAGAGATTCCTAAAAGTCAAGTTGCCTATGAAAGAAATGAAAACTTTAAGATTGTTGTATGCTAAAACTAAAGAGAGTGAGCAATGATTATACTGAAAAGATAGTGCGAATAGAAAATATTCAAGAAAATATAGAAGAAAACATATTTGATTGGTTATGAAAGTAATGAAGGAAAAAGATAAAAACTAATATAATTATATAGAATAAGATGAAGAAATGAGAGCTGCGATTTGTGCAAAAGGTCTTGCACAAAGAAAACACTTATATAGTAGTCAATAGAAATGAATAAAAAACACAAAAATCAAAGGAATATTTACATTCATGACATCCAATTCCAATGTATTTACATATCTAACACCTAACCTTCATCTTTTACATTTATACCACCCAAAGCTTTGATATTACATAAAAAGTACCACAATTTTAAATTTTAAAAAGTGAAATACACATTTTCATGCATAGGAAAGGTGTTATGTATGTAAAAAATGTAGTTTAGGTGTAAGATATGTAAATAAATATGAATTGAGCGGTACATATGTAAATCATCTACAATAAAATCACATATAACTTGGACAAGGCTACCCACAACAATGATGATGATGATGATGATGATGATGAAATTTGTGTACCTGATTGCTAGCATCATGCAACGACTCAGTGGCACGGATCTTTGCCTCAATGGATTCTGGCTGATGCTCAGATTGCAAGTCCTGTACAGGATCAGAAAGTGTTGAGGCCCTACCAACAGCTTCGGATACTACAGGTAGCAACTGCTGAACGATCCCGGTAAAATTTAATCTGTTTTGTCCTGCACCCTGTAAATTTCCATTATTCACTCCCTGTTCTACACCTTGCACAATTTGATTTACTGTGTTTTGAACTGCAGGGTTCTGAACACATTGCTCCAACATACTTCTCAGATCACCAGGGGAAAACCTAGACTGTGATGCTACACCAGTCAAGAGATTGTTGAAAGCAGAGCTTTGCATGGCATTAGACATCATGCCTGCAAAATCCGTTTGCCCGCTGCCACCTTGCCCTCCAGAAGCCATGCTACTCATAAGCTGGGAAAATAAAGAGGAAAACTGACTAGGAGACTCATTTTTACTTCCTTTATCCACATTCGAGGTCTGAGATGGAAGAGAAGGAAGAGCATCATGAACCCTAGCAATAGAATGTTGATTCTGATTCGATGAAGATGCCTCGGCTTGTCCGTCATTCTTCCCTTTAGGCTTTACTGGCTTACTTCGCTTCTAATAAAGCAAATACGAAGTTTTGAATAGAATATAATACAGCAAGATGATGAAAATTGATGAGTGATGCAAATCATTACATATAAGAACAAGAATTTGCATTACCTTAGTCTGTAAACCTCCAAAACCTAGACCTATGGGAGTAGGCATATTGCTCTCTGTTGGACTGTTTGATGGGGGTGGCTTCTGAGGCTCAATGGATTCTGATTCTCTCTTAACAGATTCAACATCTGATGAACAAGGTTGAATACAAGCAGATTGACTGTTGGCGAGATTGATGGAAGTTGATGATTCTTCAAGATTAATACCAGAACCCACGCTATTAATCTGATTTCCTCCTAACTGAATATGAAAATTGAAAACAGGGCAGCCTAATTTTCATCCATCATAAACGTGAAAGATACAGAAACAGAAGAATATTATGCTTGAATGTGAAATCTAACCTGCTGCTCTTCTTTTCTTGAAACAGTGAGAACAGAAGTACAATTTTCCCCAGAACCACTCTGCATCCCATCTTCAGTAAATCCGATGTTTACTGAATTGTGTGTTGCACCATCATTGCCTATTTTGTCAAATTTAACATTAAAAGTGAATGATAATTGAAAAAAGAGCTGCTCAATTTAACAGCTAAATTTTAAATGGGAATTTACATACCACACAATTCTTATGTATTTCCGTATTTAAGAACACTTTGTTGTCATAAACTTATATACAAAAATATGTATTTCACTTTTAAAAAGTTAGTAATGATGGTATGCATGTGAATATGAAAGTTTAGGTGTTATACGTCTAAATACAAAATGAGTGTGTGGTATGTATGTAAATATCCCATTTTAAACCTGCCACCGTAGTTACAAGAACCTTTAAATAGATCTTCCGGACGAGCTAATACATTCTCTTCTGTGCCTCTCAACTCCTGCGATGTTTGAGGCACTGAAGATGAATTTTGTTCTTCAGAATCAGAGCAAAGTGAATTTCTCGCGATATTCGACTCTGTCGTCTCATGCATGATACTACTATTCATTTGAGGAGGTTGCAATGCAGAATTCGACGAATCCAATTGTGCTCCGCTGCCCACAGCTGAAGAAGAGCCCTGAGTAGCAATAGGCTGCATGCCCGCAGATGAGCTCTGTACTTGTGAATTTCCCGTTAGCGCATTCGCAATGCGTGCGGTGACCTGAGCCACAATTGCAGGCACCGAAACAGACGGGGGGATGAAAGCTTGTTCACGAGACTGACCAACTCCGCTCGTGGTAGAGCCAGCGCCTTGAGGAGAAGCATACTGTATAGGGATGGAATGCTGTGCCCTTATGTGAATAGGGTATGTGACACTGAACACATGACCAGCGGTTTCTGGTACGGTCCGTGCAGGGGTAGCAGAAATCACGGTTCTCAAAGGTAATCCTCTTGCAGAGCTTGAATCACTCGAACCATTTATAGATGAACTTGTTTGTTCGGTGCCAAGACGATCTCCATTAGCGGGAATTGTCGCGGCAATGGTAGAGGATACACCGGGGGCTGAGGAACTCCCTGATCATCTGATGGCATCAGCCATTATCCAAATCAGGAGAAAAAGAGAGGGTTGGAAAGTTTCCTACCAGCATGTAGGTGGATGTTAATGTTGCTCAAAGGATTTCCAGGAGATGCTCCAATGGATAATCCGGAGATTACTGGAAGAGGAGACGCACCAAATAGGGTGTTTGGCTGAAAAAAGCAAACAACGAGAAAAAGAAAAATGATAAAATAAATCATAGTAACATCCAGAAAGAGGGGTGTCAAAATGGTCACCTAACTCTTGGCAACATTTTAGTCTTAAAGAGTTTATAAAAGTGTCAATTTATTCCCAAGAGTCTTCTAATATGGATGGTTGAAACAGTTCTCAGTGGGGACTATTTTAATCCATATTAAAAGAGTCCTAGGACTAATTTAACACTTTTATAAAATCCGAAACTAAAGTGGACTAGTGTAAATAGCCAGGTGGCTATATCGCCACTTTACTCCATCCAGAAATGGATAAGAGAAGGATGAAAGTTAGTGATGGGAAAAAACTGACCTGAACCATTATTGGATTTGGCCCTGCTGGAGATATATAAACAGCAGGACCGGCATTCACAGAATACTCAGCCTGAATCAATGAATACACGTGTAAATATATGCAATATAGATATGCATGCATGCAAAATGATGAATAAAAATGGAGCTTACTGAAGATTGTCCCATACGAAGTGTCATGATTGTGCGGCCCAGTTCTAATAACATAGCACCTAAATGCTGCATTGCAATTCCTAATTGCATAGCTTCAGTCTGAATCTGACCTCGCAAAGCTGGATCAGAAGAACTCCCTTCTCTTTGTAAACGTGTGGCCACATGCTATATAATAAAAAAAAAATTAGCAGACAGATGTAAGAGTACATTGATCCCAATAAAACGGTGTAGAAAACTATACGGAACAGATGATCAGAGAAAAAAAACTAGGTAACATCAAAATTGCTACCATTTGCTCATGTGAATCCCATAAAATAACCATGAAACGTTAGAAACACAACTCAAAGCACAGATAATTTTTTTTGAACTTTATGGTAAATGCTGAGGATGGTTTGATAAAAGAGAACTTTCAGGACTAAATGGAAACACAGATTCAGCATCACTGGCTAGATTAGAGTGACAGATCTGGCAGTATCTAATTTGAATCTGTTGGGACCTAGAATTTTGTCTTTTGTTCCAGACAATGAAATTCTTTTCAGCTATCTGGACATTCATGTCGTTCCTTTTTAATGGTTAAATTTATTTCTATCCATATGCTTATAGGAAAAGTCTAATAGCCTCTCCAAAAGTATTACCAAAATTTTCATCTAGCACATTTCTTTTTTTATTTATGGGACAAATTGCTCCAAGTTTCTATGGTAGACCACAAATTATTTTTTAATCCATTGACCGGAGAATATTTTTAGCCGGAACTATGAAACCTAATACTATTGTTTTGGATGTAGTTAATAAATAATGGATCTAATTATAGGTGTTTTAAATGGGGTTATCAAAATAATGAACCTAGTTACTCAAATTTTGAATGTGAACACTAATTGTTTCCGTCCTAAATTTTGAGGAACAAGAACCATTACTTTAGCAGCTAAGTTCCCTCTATTTATTTTGATTTTTCTTGTTGTCAGCAAAGCCATCCAGAAAATCATCTTCTTCGTACGCCAATCACCTTGCAATAACATGATACCTTCTTGTTGAAAACAAGGGACCAAGCTTAGTATTACTGAAGTCATTGTAAATGCTTCCACGTGCAATTCGTTATTGAAATCAGCTTGCAATTAAATCTTGTAGCGAAAATATTTTTAGTAGTTGCATTCCAAATATTAGCCCATGTATTGTATAAAAGACAACGTTATAGTTTGTTTCATTTCATTCAGCATATTAGTCTGCTTCATTTCATTTCACATTAATTCCATATATGCATCCAAACAACCATTGAAAAACTTTGTTAAGGGAAGACTACCTTAGAGAATGGGATGAAGATTAGGGAGGGTCAAAGTCTCAAACTAAAATCAAAACTGAATCTCACCTGAAATTAAGCCCAATCTTAAACTTTAGTTCACAAATGAGCCGAACCACTAACTGAACCTGAGATAGAGTAGGAGGTTATGCTCTGAGTCTAAGGCAATTTTTAAGTAGCTCAAACCTAACATCGCTGCTACAGACAAAACATGATTCCAAAGTTGAATGTGTATGACAGCGTACAGCTACCAAAGTGAATAAAATACCTGTCACCCAAACAAGCTCCACTCAATTTTGCTCACAAAACATATTTCTCTTCTTCGCTCTCAACTCACATTACATCATTCACAATCAGTCTCGTTAGCATCTTGCTTTCTTTGGCTTTAACAGTTTTATCCAGCAAGTATATGAACTCCCTGTCCCCACTACCAACCCCACCCCACCCCACCCAACAATATTAATTGCTACTTGAGTTAAGGCAGAGTTCATTCCATTTTTGTCCTTTGTTGCCATCTATTTTAGAGGCATTATTTTCTCACGCAATTCCTCTAACTTTTAGAGCATTAGGGTTTATGGTCACAACTATTGTTGTACTCCTCGGTCCATCACAAAAGCTCTAGAGAGATGACAACTTCAAACTTTCACCACCCTTAGTCCAATCATTTTTCTTTACTTTTTAAGCAAAGATCAACATCTTAATAGGAGCAACCCTCGGCTTTTCATTATAAAACTTATATTACTTAAACTACAATTGAGAATTACGAGCTAGTTATTCCATTGTATTTCTCGATTGTAGGCAAATTGCATTTAGACTACCCTAGTACAAAGATTACAAGTAGAGTTTTATCAAACTTGCATTAAGAGGTGACTTCTCAATGGGGCTTTTTAACCTTCATCATATTCTTATTAGATTATTAGTTAGATAGTGTGTGAATTAAAGTGGGATTCCCACTTAACTCGTCTATGGAACTATGTATCACTTCAATTTGGATCGCTTTTTCTCTACTTTATTTAACCAATACACCTGTTAATGGCCCAAATTTTGGGAAATACTTGCAAATGATTGTTGTTAAGGCACAACTCTCAACTAGAATTCTAAATGAAATGGATATTACTATTCCTTTAGATAAGAGGTCTAAACTGGTTCCTCCTCTCGCGATTATTGGTAGAAACTTGAATTTGAAGGAATCACTGCTTATCATTCACATTTCAAATTATTTTTCTCACACGACTGCGTAAAATTTTGAGGCTTACCGAAAATTACCTAAATCATCTATTATTGATCCTTACATTCAAAATCGAACACACAAATGATCAAAATTTACCTTCAAACAGAATAATTGCTGATCATCCTACTTCAGAACAGGCTTGCACAAAAAATTTAGAACAAATTTTAGATCTTATGATGGAGTCTTCACAGCCATCCCTTGTTGTCCTATATGCCCAAAAGGATGTAAACATCTCCTTTGCATGGAAGAACATTGATCAGGACCCTCTAAATGTGATAAATTCTCGTAATCATCATATTATTTAGGATATTTGTGACCCAGATTACGACCAGCTTTGTGATTATGATGGTAATTCCTTAGTATCAAAACACGAGTAAATGTCATATTTCAAATACTACTCTTCAATATGGGAATCAATGAAAATTATTATCATTCATCAAGGTTCATCAGATTACAGAGGCAATACAAATGAGAGTCTGAAAATCTCCTAATCTAAAAAATGGATATCTTTCTATGTCCTCGTGACATTTTTTATTATACTTTTTTTATGTTTACATTATCATTTGACAATTATTTGTCATTAAATTAACTTGAACTCATTTTATAAATAGATTATAAGAATTTGTTTTTAAGAAAAAAGAAAATGTCGGATTTTCTACAAAAAAAGTAACCAAAAAAGTATCACATAACCCAAAGTTCTATGCTTCATTGTTTTTCAATTCAAACACGATGATAACATAATGGGAAAAAAATAGCAAATACCGAAAGAGCAGATGCTGCATTATCTCTTAAAAGCTGCTGCGCTCTTTCCATGACAGAACATAAAAATTCAGGAGTTGGTAATCCTCTTGCATCTAATAATGAAGCTCCAGAATGCTGCTGATGTTGAGCATTGTTCGAGGAGCCACTATGACTTTGCAATACTAATTCCATCCGATCAATGAACTCAGTAAGAGTTGTCAGAGCATCAGAGATAACCTGAATTGCAAAAATAAAAAACTCGTGCTGATGAAAAATAAAGGTTGGTGGTGATATATAGAAGAATTCAAGCGAATCAGACTCCACCCAAAATAGTGAGGTTCAAGTTGCTGACATAATTACCAATCCCAAATAAAAGTCAACTTGTACATTGCAAAAATAAAAAAAGAAATAAAAAGAATAACCATTGGTTGGTTTAAATTTCGTATGAGCGGAAACTGAGAAAACTGAGTTGAAGCCAGTTGTGGACTGCTATTAGATGGAAAAATCCCCTCATGTACTGAGTCACCAGGCTCAGTTGTGCTGGTACTTTGAGATCCTTCTACTCCTGTGCCTGATGGGGCCTGATTTAGCTGCAAATTGCACCCGAAGAATTACGCATCTGTCGAATTAGTTTGTCAAAACTAATATGAAATACAATCCCTCCGTGTAAATTACAGGAGAAAAAATCTCACTCACTACAGAAACAGACGGAGCATGGCCAGGTCCCCCAGCAGGCTCTACTGTTACTAATCCTAAAGAACCAAGAAATGTCTCTATATTCTGTACAAAAGAGAGGCACCAGAGCAGTGAGAGAATAAATAAAAAAAGATTAAATACATACCACTCAATTATTATGTATTTACATATCTAATACCTAAACCTTAATTTTTAAATATATGGCACCTTATGCATGGAAAGATATATTTCACCTTTTAGAAGTTAAAATAATGATGTTTTTGAAGTGATACGAAAGATAATATGAGTTAGGTATGTAGATGCATAGGAATTGGGTGGCATGTATGCAAAAGAGAATAAATAAAATGTATGAAAAAAAAAAAGAAAATTATCAATATTAGAAGCTACATGTACCCGACCGAGGTCAGCTAAAAAAGCTTCACCGTTTCTGTCTGCAACATTAATTGTTCCAAGCAAAACACTATGAGCAACCTGTCCAGCCCTATTGCGTTGTGCTCCAGAACCAGAATCATTTGCTGCAGAAAACATACGAGAAAACACGGAGTAAATTAAGTATAAAAATGGAGTTAACCTTCAAGTATCTCGAAGATACCGCACAACATCTCCAGAGAGATAACAACAAATCTCAAGGCAGTAGAAAAAATTCTTTATTCACGAAATCATCATCAATATTAGATGAGCGATCCCTATCTGCTGAACAACCATACTTAAATGGGAAATTTACATACATAGCTCATAGTCCTTATGCATTTATAAACATCACACCTAAAATTTCATATTTATATACATAGCAAATTGGTGTGTTAAATCTATACATGAAAAAGATGTATTTTTAAAAAAAAAAGTGGTAATAGTACTATTTTTTATGTGATATTAAATATTTGAGGGCTATGTATGTAAATATGAAAGCTTAGGTGCTAGAAATGTAAATAAATAAGAATTTTGTGCTATGTAAGTGAACACCTCTCTTAAAATTACAAAAAAATCAAACTATGAAAGAGCGAATTTCACATTAACCAAAAACATTTGATAATAAAAAATGACACAAGACAATAAATCAAGGAATAACATAAAAAGACCTAAATAGGGGAATCAAACATCATCACAACCCTAGAAATAGGTGGGGTGGCAGCCATCAATCCCCAAGGCTTCAAAGCATACTAATAGGGAGAATGAAAGTGAAAATACAACTACAAAATGAGTAAAATGACAAAATAGTTCATTGACTATTTACATAGGGTCATTTTAGTCCCAGTGTGTAAAAGTGTCAAATTACTCCAACTCTTTCGACATAGGCTGAAATAATCCTAGGAAGGACTCTTTTAGCCCCCTGTTATGAGGACTAAATTGACACTTTTCTAGAGTCTTGGACTAAAATGAGCTCGATTAAGATTCAGGCGGCCATTTTGACACTTCTGCCCCTATAAAACTCAAAAATATGCACAAAATTTGTAAAGTAATTAGCATCAAACGGGAAGTGATAAATCAACAAGTAGTCAGTGGTGTTGTGAAAAGAAACAATCTCATTTAGGAAAGACAATTGAAAAACTAGCACAGTTGATACTCTTGGCAAAGCATAGACCACCTTAGAAAAACCAAAAGATACCTCAAGCTCAAAAATGCCTCGATAGAGAAAAAATTCTCAATATCAAATAACTAAAATCTATGTCAAAATATATTTATTAATTACTAATGCAATAGATACTAAAATTCTATAAATATTGCAAACCTCAAAGTTGCTTGAAAAATGTAGCAACGGAAGGGATGGAGGAAAAAAGTGATGTTGGGAATATTAAAAAAAAAGTGACAAACTCATCATAACATTCATTGTTGTGACTTCAAACACTATGATGAACAATCATTATGGCTTTCAAACTTCCAAGATGTCTGACAATTTTATTTCTAGAGCAAGCATCGGCATGACATACTAAAAAACAAACTCAACACAACATTCATTGATGCGATTCCAAGCACTATGATGAACAATATTTATGGCTTTTAAACTTTCAAGATGCCTAACAGATTTATTTCTAGGGCAAGCACGAGCATGCCAAACATGTCTGAAAATTAACTATTATGTGAAAATATGATGCATTTAGAAGTGACTGAATAGTCCTAAAATTTGCATAAACGGTAGACTGTGAGAAAACTTCAAACACAATTATAGCCTTGGGTAAAGATTTTGGATAAGATAAGAACTTTAGTTCTCGTTTTGGTTCTAATTCAAACTTAGATTTAGGTTTAGAGTCAAATGCGAAAAAAACTTTTTTTTCAAATCAACAAAATTTTATAACTAATCATTAAAAAAAATATAAATTATAATTATATATGTTGAAAAACAAATTTGGAGAAGAAAAATTGCTTGCATTCATTATTCACATTTAGGGTACATAAATAGGCAATTATATCTCCTAATTTACAAACTTTCATGATATATCAAATCTTAAATATGGAAAGAAGATAATTATGAAATAAAATAAAAGAAACATGAATAGGAAGAGATTAAAAAAAAAAATCAAGAAGTTTCCAAATTTGTCTTCCTATCATCCAGGATCTTTGTAGGTGGCCGGACAGCCCCACCATTCAAGATTTCCACACTACCCCTCAAAATAGGTTGTATATGTTCTAAAGGCCCAGCTTATTATTAAACTCAGTGAAGCTGCTGGAGGTAGAGCTTTAGTGAGACATCAACCACTTGGAGATGAGTTGTAATGTATATCAAGTGAATAATACCACCATTGGCCTTTTCAAAGATAAAATGTCTATCAATCTCAATGTATTTGGTCATGTCATGATGCGCGGTATTCTTTGTCATACTAATGGCAGCTTGGTTGTCACTGAACATCTTGACATTGACTGTGGAGTATCTCAAATCATTCAGTAACTTTTGGATACAAATTCCTTCACAAATTCCTAAAGTCAGTGCCTGATAATTAGATTTTGCACTACTTCTAGAGACCATTATTTGCTTCTTGCTCCTCCATGTGACAAGTTTCCCCATACATAGGAACAATACTCTGTTGTGAAGCTTCTGTCGGTGAGTTTTCCTATCCAACTAGCATCAATGTAAACATCTACCTCCTTGTTGTCGAATTTCTTAAATAAAAACCCTCTCCTAGGGGTCTTCTTACAAATATCAATATTCTATAAACCACCTTAAGAAGTTCTTCATTTGAACTATTCATATGTTGACTCATAATACTGACAGAATAAGCGATATTAGGTCTAGCGTGTGGCAAGTAGATAATCAATGATTCTTCTTCTACTTATGTAAGGCATATAGCTTACAAGATGGCAAAACATGGTTTGAATGTTGTTGTTGAAAACCATCGTGGGCATGGTGGTGTATCCATAACAGTGTGTGATAGATTTATTAGTCGCAAATTGGTCTAGCCGATCTATGATAGAGCTCTTATGATTGGCCTTAAAGGTTATGCCAAATTACATCAGCCTGTCTTGACAAGTTTGCCAACTGGGATGGCAACAAAATGTCAAGCTCGGTTTGAAAATTTGACCACCATGCCACATGCCTAGTTGGAAAATTTAAGATTGAGGATGCATACTATCGCCGTTGTAGTTGTGTTAGCTACGTTGGGAACATATCAGCTCCATTGCTCTGGAACAGTGCTTTGGATGATCCAGTATGTATCAAGCAAGTGATTCCCTGGGATGAGTGCAGGGCAAACAAGCATATTGTTTTGGCAACAACAGGCCATGGAGGACGTCTTGCAAATTTGAAGGGATAACTGCGAGCAGCTTATGGCGGGTTAGAGTTGTCCATGAGTTTCTTTCTGTTCTGCATTCTAGTCCGTACATGCACGAACAAAAGATAAAGAGTCATGATCTATATTCTCCACTAGATTCGTCCATTGATAAAAGCCCAAAACAGCATGATGGCGAGGACAAAGCAAACGGGCTATAAGTCCACCGGCGACAATTCCCAAGGAAGCTACTGGTAACTAAGGCGGCCAGAAAGTCAGCTCCTGCGACCTGTGGCATGAAAGAAACCACATCGTTTCCATTTCTGAACAGTTGTGCTGAGGGAAATCAGGAAGTCCCAAAAGAGCGCGGAGTATTTTTCTTGTAGCAGACCCTTCTCCGAAGTTCTTTCCTACAACAGGCCTACCTCTGGAGCTTTTCTTTTTTCTGCATGTCACATCCTGCAGCTTTCAATGAAAGTTGTCTACTTCCTTACAAACTCTCTTGCAGCATTACCTGTGAGAGTCTTCTGTCTACTTACAGACACTACAGGAACGACAGTCAAAGAGAACCGCAGTAAACTAGAAATCAGTTTTTCTTGCAGGTTGTCTACTTCCTTGCGAACTCACCTACAATATTACCTTTAGGAGTCTGCTGCCAACCTACAGATACTGTAGGAACTGTAGTCAAAGACAATTGTAGTGAACTAGAAGTCAGTTTTTCCTGTTGGTTGTCAACTTACCTGCAAACTCCTCTGAAGCATTACCTGTAGAAGTATTCCGCCTACCAACAGACATTGCAGGAACTACAGTCCAAGACAATTGTAATATGGGATGAAGACTTTAAGTTCTACTTCACATAATATTTCTCACCCATTGTCTGATGTTTTCAAATCCAAGTTGAAAATGGTTTTCAATGATCTTCCAACTTGAAAGGAAGTGTTAAAAGTTATGTAAGAAAATAATTTATTCACGTTAGAAGCTATGAGAATTAGATTTATTTCCTAATCTAAATTTATTTCCTTTCCTATTTTAGAGTTATTTTTTTAGATTGGTATTGTTTCTTTTTCTATTTTAGGCTTTCCTATTTTATGTTATTTCATTTATAAATATTCTAGAATTCATGTAAGGGTTATTTATACCCCCTTTCATATTAATAAAAACATTTTTCATTATTCTGAATTTCAATATTAATAACAGAGAAAAATACTAAAGGTGGAGGCCACAAATCATTGTGCCAGAATAATTGCCAAAAAGTTTGTAGTAGAATTGGGCAGCTGCAGTTCACAGAACAAAGGACGGTCATAAGAATTTCAGAAAAGGTGCATGGCATAAGGATACCAATACAAATAACTAACATGATAGAATAATATTCTTGGGACGTATTTATAGATTCTTGCTAAAATAAAAACTTCTACTAAATTAAAATCACAAAACAACTAAAATCAAATTAAAACTTCATCTTTCAGATTGTTCGTCTAAATACTAATTTTGCAATTCCAAAAATTGTAGAATTTAAGATTCATGATGCAAGGCTACTAAATCAACATCATCAACAAAGGATGGTTCGTTATCATAAAATATCTCTGTTGACCTCACATTTGGTTAAGGTTTAGTCTCTCCTCTTTAGTAGCTAAAATCTAGCCATAAGATTTTCCTGTTGACTATTCCTAGAAAACTAGAAAAAAAACCCTCACCATTAGAAATTCTAAACTCCTTTTTGCTCAACTTGAAGTTCCTTACATTGGTCCTAACCTCTAGCACTTAGTAGGTGGGATCAATATAAAGTAGCTCGAGATGAGTTCTCATAGGACTGC